AATCTACCTAGCAGCACCTCTAAAGCTCACTAATTCCCGTTATAGGACTATTCACGTGCAATCCTCTCATCTAACTCTCAGCAAGATACACACAAGAATATTTTCCAATAACTGTTCCTTTTAATAACTGCTGAAAAGGATACCAAAGACGAGTGCTCCCCACACTGAGTCAGATCTACTGGGATGAATCGGAGCGAAGGTTGAGCCAGATGTGTGGGGGAGGGACGGGAGGGAAAACTACACGTCCCATCTTGCTAAAACCGTCATCAGTCTGTGCCCATCTGGCGCTTTGTGTAACATTCTCTTGGTTGGAGCATGTGATCCAATTGTCAAAACATGTTTGTGTTGGCGTACATGAAGGTGGACAGAAGGCTTGTGAAAGTGATGTGATGGAAACACGTGGGGTTGATGACTCAGCACGCTGTTACTTTAGTATCTGTAGGTGCACAGGACAACTATTCTTGGGTTCATTTTTCCATTCAGAAAACATTCTTCCTCACCAGGCTCTTTGTCGTCCAGCCAGGACAGATCATCTGAGCTCACTTCAGCCAGGCTCGGGGTTGGACTGAAGTCTTCTGAGTCAGAGTCCGCCTCTTCAACTCTGACCCCTCTGCTGTGGCTGTGACGGAGCGGGAGCGGTGCTTGTCCTGAAGCCAACAGAAAGACGTGGTTAAATAGTTTTATCATGCAGTGAATGTGTGTGTGAGAGCTGGAGTAGAGACTTGCCTGATGTGTGTGCTGACAGCAAAGGTGTTGGTTCACGTTCTCTGAGAATAAGTCTCCTGACCTCCTCCTTCAGCTCTGACACAGTTGTTCTGTTGTAAGACATTCAGTACAACATATGAGTGACAAGAGACAAAACCCCCAAAACACACACACACATACACACAGACACACACACGTACCTGATCTGGCGGACCTCTTCTTGTGTGTGTGAATACTTAGAGAGTGTCTTTGCCAGATCAGTGCTGTGAGTTCTGTAGCTGTCTGTCAGCTCCTCCAGTGTCTGAACAAAGCACACAAAGGAAAGGTTAAGGATCTGAAAGAATACAAACCACACAGCAAATACAGCCTGCGTGATACAATGTGTGTGCACCTTGCAGCTGTGTTCGTACTGTCTCCTGGTCTCTCTGGTCTCGGCCTGCTGGAGGAACACGTCCTCCTCCTGTCTCCCTGTCAAGAGGAAAAGAAAGAGCAGACGTTGTGAACAAGCCTGTGCTTGTCTTTGCTTTGCAGGCCAGCACTGGGCTTATGACATGTGCAGTCCCGCACAATCAATACAAGGGCATGATGTGTGTGTGTGTGTGTGTGTGTGAGACTCACTTAGTCTTGTTTTCAGTTGGTCCACCTCTCTCCGCAGGTGTTCCAGCTCCTCTCGTCGGAGCTTGGAGCTGAAACTGTGGAAAAAGAAAGAAAAGTGCTTGTGTCTTACCAAATGTCACCTTCCTGGAAGCAAACAGGTGTAAACATTTTCCTGTCATTTTCAATCTCGAGCTGGACCTATCATCAGTTTACTCTGCATTTACGCCCCCCAGCTCCACCCCTAATGCACCTCTCCTCCAGGTTGCCTAGCGACGTGGCTCTGGTGATGTGTCCCCGCAGACTGCTCAGCTCACGTCCAACCTCTCTACGCCATTGCTCCAACCTCCGCTCTGCTCCTGGACTTTGTCCCCTCCTCGATTCGTCCCTCTCTCTTTCCCTCTCCCTCAGCCTGTGAACCTCCTCTGGAAAAGAAGAGATTAATATGAGGAAGGGATTCTTTTTTTCTCCTTTAGCAGCCTTGTGGACAAATCCAAATAATTTATTAATATCATTAATTATAAATGAATCCTCCCTTGATGAGTGTATTTGCTTTTTCAGACAGTAGAGAGGTGGGGGAGAGTAGAAAAAGCAGAACAGAGAGAAATTTAGCAGAATCTGAACTTCAGACAACAGGGAGGCAGCATTTTTATTTATTGATATATAATTGTACTTTTTAAAAAAACATTTTGGCAGATTTTTGTCCAACCATCGTACATGGATTGATTTTTATTTATTTGTCTAAGTGTCATGCACCATTCTATGTGCCCAGCCCATGTGGGCTTACAAGACACTAAAGCAACATCAGCCAAGATGGCCACATGACAAATCACAGATCACAAATCATGGACTTGAACTAAATTCACTTGTTTATCAGACTCTACAGTTAAATAATAACAACAATAATAATAATAATAATAATAATAATAATAATGCTATTATGATATTAAACAAGCACAATTAAAATTTATTTATATATTTAAATATATATTTAAGGTAAAACATTGTTGGGCGAAGTTAGCCGATCTCACACTGAAGGGAAAGCTGTTTCAAAGCCGAGGAGTAACCAAATACGTCACCGTTGGTCTTCAGTCTGGTTGGTGGAACAACTAAAAGTTTTTGATCAGCTGATCTTAGGGGCTGTAAGGGGTTAAAGGTTGTTTGGTGCAGTCTGGAGCCAGACCATGGATGGCCTTGTAAATAATGAATAAAAATATGAAATGTATTCTGAACTTAATCAGTAAGCAGTACAGTGATGCTAAAACTGGGGTGATATGAACAATAGAATATATTTAGGAAGCTACAACCTTATGTGTAATGATAATGGGCAATGTGAACTCCTAACTTAGTTTGGGGCGAGGCCACGGTGTTGAATCTGATAAAAAAAATCCTTCTTTCTAGTGGACAATAACAGGAGTCAGGTGTTGCTGTATTTGTGAGGGGATAATGTGACCCATTATAAACTGAGGTGAGTAGTCAGGGTGCAGTAGGTTACCTTGTAGTGTCTGGATGTGACATTGTTGAGACTGTCTTTCCCTTTCCATGTCATGGAGTTTCTGGGTGAGAGACTCAATCGCCTTGGGAAAAGACATTTGGAATTGTGTCAATGCCGACGACACAAATAATACATAGACAAACACAGCAACTGTTTGATCTCGCACACCTGGCTCGACTAAACACACAATCACACACCTGGCTCTGTATCTGGAGTTGCGATTGGATAGCAGCCAGGTCTGCCCACTGAACACCAGGACTGAGAGACGGGGAAGGCTGTCGGAGAAGGGGGACTCGAGGAGGAAGAGCGGGAGGGTCCAAATCTGACTCATGAATCCTCTCCCTTACTGGAAACAAATCTGGAGAGGAAGATGCAAGTGAGGGGGGCTGTTTACAAAAGGGTTCAATCAAATAAATGAAGTTCAAACCACAGTCCCTCTTATCATGATCTGCACCTTTTTGTTAAGTTTGAAAAGGTGGAAGTCTCTCACACACACACACACTCACACACAGGCCATTTCCTCTGCTAGTCATATTCAGAAAACCTACAGTAGGTCACCCACCTTCTCCTGCTTTGGTGAATTTCCCCGGTGACGTCAGCCTCTCCTGTGCAACGGACACATAAAAACACTTTCAAAATTCAGAGGGGAATTTCCAAACTTTCACAAACATACAAACATCCCTTTAATCTGAATAACTGAATGATCCTGGTAAAAGTTTAGTGGAGCGTCAGTGCCATCTACAGACAGCTGCAATAATGACAATTAACAACTGATCACAAGACCACAGTGAGGGCTGATGTAAAACAAAACATGCCACAGTGTAGAGTCCTCACACTCTCTAGAATAATGAGACTAATGAATTAGACAAAGGTAATATGAATCTACTCACCCTCATCTTTGCAACGCTACCATCTGCTACTGACAGTATAGAGCTCAGCTGATTGTCCCAGTTCATGTCTGAGTTGAACTACAAAGAAACACATCATTCATTAGAGAGCTAATTCATAATATTGGGTGCAAAATCGTCATGCAGGCCAGTGTTGTGTGGCCTGTGAGTCACGGTACATCGTAAACCAGTGTAGGATAGTGATACAGTAACATTAGACGTGTTTGGTGGCTGGTCGGGGAGGTAACAACCTAGTAGAGGTAATCTCTAACACCTTGTGGGAGATTCAATTACAGCAGGCCTTGATGGGTGCACGTTTACAGTGAAGCTTGTCAGCTGCTGCTCAGAGAGCTGAGGTGCCAGAAAGTGCAGGCTGTCTGATAACAAAGGGCTTACTTAATTGATGTGCAGGTCCGTGGGGAATATCTCTCCCTCCAACTACTCACTGGAGATACCAGAGTACTGGATACCAACACACAGAATAAATGCACACTAAACACGTCAAGGTAACACCGAGGAGGCGTGACAAACATTAGATAGCCGGTGTTGTCACGTTAACCTGAGCTAATGTCAGTTAGCAGCAGCTTTACGGTGACTTTTTACTTTCTTGTTTGGCAAAGTAATTATTGCCCGACAGCGAGTGATGTCTTTTTTTCAAAATATCATATAAACTATCGCTAAAAAAAACCACACACTACATATAATGTTTAAAGAGAGCGGTACAAATATTAATGTTAGCTGGCTAATAAGGCTACTCACAGAAAATCCTGCGACTCCACTTTTAAATCCAGGAGCTCATAACAGTAACGTGATTGCGTAGGACGTAGCCGCAGGGGTCTTCTGGGTAGTGTAGTGCGTGGTCACTCTACTCTTCCTTTATAAAGTAACTGAAGTGCTACAGTAGAGTTCCTGCTAAAAACATTGTTTATTGTATTGTTATTCATTCATTTTGTCAGAAGCAATCATTGCGGAAACAGCAAGAGTCGAGCTTCATTTCTGACATTGATTAGCCAAAGAACATCATATCCCATAATCCTTAGCGGTGTGTCGATATGCAGCAATGGCGGCTTGCAGGGTGAATGTGGAAGAAATAACAGGACAGCTAGAGGACTGTTTATCGAAACTTGGATTTGAAGTGTACCCTCTAAAGGTATCATGGCACTCGTTTATTTCTACTGTGAAGCTTAGACAGCAAGACGGACTTCAAAATGTGAAAAATACTATTAAATACATCCAGTTGTTTCCCTGCTAGCCACAACTGAGAAGTGAGGAGTTGAAACAGTCAGTAAACTACTGTAAAGGGGTAAAATTGAATCCCCTCAATCCATGTAAACTGTTTGAAATGTGAGATAAATATATATTCCCCTACTGTGAGTGATGTGCTCTCCCTGTATCTCGCTGGACGGTCAGTAACTTTCACTGCGTCCCCATATGTTCACAGGTTGCTTGGTATAACTCCCTGCTGCCCCCCTCCCTGCGCCTGGCCTACCCAGATGACAGCCTGGCCGTGGTGGTGCTCAGCACTCCTTCCATGTTTGAACAAGCCTTCCTGCCCTTCCTGGAGGAGAGGGGCTGCCAGGGGCTGTCTGACCCCATAGACCAGTGTGTCAAACACTGTGTCACCTCTGCTGTCTCCCAGGTGAGCAGTGTGAATGAATACCCCAGCTTTAACGTGGGGCAGACAGATGCAAGGTTGTATGATTGGTTTGGGACAAGGGTGGGCGGATAAAATCTTCTATTACAGAATGTGTTGTTTTTAATTATAGTATACGTAGATATGTTTTGATACAATAAATTGTCTGGAAAGCTGTTTTAAAATGACTACATGATAATTAAACACCTAAAAAAGATATGTACACAATACAATATACAAAATGCTGCAAACCAATATAACCATAACGCAGTCCTACTCACTGCTTTACAACATATCCACAATGGTCCAGTAACAGAGGGATTAAAGGGTTTGATACCACATAAGGCTGGACTACCAACTGGGAAAAACAGACAACAGAGCACCAGCCATACAGAAAAATATGAAAGTAGCTGGTAGATATCAGACACAAAATTATAATTTACTATTGAGTGAATTTGAACATTTGTGTGTCAGTGCCTGGTAGATGTTCAGATTTTAAAAAATTAATTTCCCATCCTGGCCCCAGACCTTCAGGGCCAGTGAGTGTGGTTTATAGTTTAGTGATTTAATAAATGGAAATATGCCCCAATAAAGCACAATATCAGCTGAAATGCTGAGGGTCTCATGACTAGTCCTGTCCTCATCTGTCCTCTTTATCTCCTCTCGAGGCTCTGTCTTGTTGATGGTTGATTTTGTTGGTGATATGGTCCTCACATGCTGCATATTCTTAAATATTCTTTTCAATCTCTCATTACCAAAAACAACTGGACATACAGTTCATAGCAGGTAGTTCTGGTTTCCCTGTGAAAAATGAATGAAAATAATCTCCATTATAGCTTGTGGGTGTTTGTGGAGGTGACTGGGTACAGACACAAAGGATAGACAGCAGCAGGAACAGGAGGCCAACAGAGGCCCGATACAGCCCCAAGGCCCCTTAGTGGTTTAAACCGGCCGTGATACCACAGTATAAACTGTATGGCAACAGTCACCATGACAACGGCTCCATCAGGCTCAATCTCTTCTAAGATGCTGGAAGCCTCATTGTGTCCAACTTCTGCACACTTAGATTAGATTATTTACATGATCAGATTGTGACTCCTAAATATGCCCTCTATCTTTATCTGTCTCTCGCTGCCCTGCAGTGTTTTCCAGGTCAGGAGGTGGATGTGAGGTATGACTACGAGCTGCTACCCAGCAGGAAGCCGAAGTTCTTGGCACAGACTGCGGCTCATGTGTCTGGAGCAGCTTTTTACTACCAACAGTCTGATGTCAGAGACCAACCCTGGGCTGAAAAAGTAACGCTGGGTGTTAAATTGTTAAATTCCAGGAGTTGTAATATATCATTTTGCAGTGTTTCCTTTCTTGTCTCCTCACCTCTGTTTCGTGTATTTCCTCTGTTACCTGCAGAAGATGTTTGGAGTGTGTGTGCATCCGAGGTTCGGGGGCTGGTTTGCCATCCGAGCCCTGTTGGTGTTTGGAGGTGTGATGGCGGGCTCTGAGATGGTGCAGCCTGTTCCTCCTGACTGTGTGCCTTCCAGAGAGGGCAGGATACAGCTGCTGGAGGCTTTCAACTTTCACTGGCAGGTACAAGACCTCAGCGCTGTAAGCAATAATACCTGTGACACACACGGTAAATATAAACACCGGGATACCAAACTGTTTCATGTCAGAGACCTCCCGACAGATGGCCTTTAGATGAGAGACCCCCCATCTGTGGAGGTTTTGTTGTCCCACGGGCCTCCTTCTGGGAAGAGTTCAGTTGTCTGTTCACTCTGTGCTGTAGGTGGTGAGATGAGAATAAAGTGTGAAACCTGCGCTGTTAGACAGTCCCTTTCATGAGGACATTGCATGATGCTAGATATGAATTCCTGTGCATACCAGTGTATGTTTTAATGGGTTTTTATCATGTTATTACATATATGATAAATGGAAATTAATCAGAGAAATGTTGCATCCTCAGGACTGGGTGTACAGAGACATCATCCGTCCAGTCCAGACCTACTCTCAGAAACAGAAGGACTACTTTTCCACACTTCCTGCTAAGCGGTTTGATCTGCTTAAGACTTGGGGCTTGATGCCGAGCGAAAACGTTCAACCTGAGCCGACGTCAGACACACAGAGCCAGGTGAACGGACATGGCTAAAAGAGAAGCTGCTGCAGTTTTGCCCATCCTCTCTGAGCACAAACCTCCACTCCTGGACAGACTTTTCGTTAAAATTTGAGTCAACTTTGATAGACCCAAGATCAAAGGTGTTGAACCAAGCTTATAAGGTTTTGTTGAAAGCTATTTGAAGGTAGAAGGGATACTTTTTAAGGACTTGCTTATGAACATTTACTGCCTAATGGCTTCTATATGATGCATTTCATCATATATCCACACTACATATGTCCACATACAAGTACAAGTATAGGCAGCTCCTCTCATGGAAACTTGAACATACTCAAATGTATGTATTCTTTAAACGTTTGTGCTGCTGTTACATATCCGAGTGTGTTGTGAGAATTATAAAAATGTTTTTTATTTAAGATGGCACTTCCTTCTTGCTGCTTGAGCCCGAAAAACAAAAACACACAATAAAGACTGTAGAGCAGAGTAGAAACAGGGACTTTCACTATCATTGGAGTCCGTATCAAAGAAATCCTGTAACACCAGCCTGCCTTGAGTGCTCTACAAATGATATTCTGTTCACTTGTAATAAAATAAAATATTTAATTTCTAATAAATAAATATCTGTCATATTTATCAGTGTTTTTGATATTTCATCCATACTTTAACTACTAACTAACATAAATCTGTTTATTATGCATTGGATATATGTGTATAGAAGACGATATCTGCATGTTTATTTGGTAAGTATTGTTATGCATCCACCAATCTCATCTCTCACCAGTATTTATTGGTTCCATTGTTTCGTCTGTGTCCAGTTTACCCGACGCTCAGCTTGATGCATTATAAATGTGAGCTGCTTCTGGCCCCCCAGCCTGGTGACAGACTGACTACTTTCAACTGTGACTAACCCCTCTGTTAGCGTTTCAGCACCCCACACACTAAAGTGACCCTGGATGCACTCTGTTTGTCTACTGTAGGTCTATTTCTTTCTTTAAAATGTTTTTTTAACCAAGTTAAGATACATTAATGCACATTAAAACCTAAAAGCTCCCCGAACAACCAGTGAACATCTGCATTGAGCAGCTCCACCGAGCAGCGAGGGCCTGAGGGGTGAGTTATGCTTTTCTTCTTCCGTCTAAAAAGGAACAAAAACAAAGTCGTTGGCTGTATCTATCAGCAGTTCTGCAGCAGAAAGTCAGTGCAGGTCAAATCTACTGTTACGCCTCTAGATGTCTCTCTTCTCTTGATAACGCAGAGTGAGGTTTTGCTGCTGTCTCTGAAGCAGCTGCAGATGTTCAGCGCTCAGTGAAGTCCACCACTGACTGCAGATAAACTGCCTCACATTGTAAAGTAAGTATACCATCTACCTACTGTAAATGTTCTCATACAGCTGATCTTGCACGTATTACTTTTACTCTCACTCCTGCCTTCACCATTTACTCATCTTTTGTGACTTTTTGTCCCACTGAGCCATCTATTGCTTCATTTCACATTTTCACTTCATTGAAACATTCTCTCTCTCTCTCTCTCGCTCTCTCTCTCCTCTCTCTCTATCTCTCATCTCTCTCTCTCTTTTTTTCCCTCTCTCTCTTACTGCATCCCTCTCCTCACCCCCTTCTCCCTCCCGTGCTACTCTCTCTATCTGTGTACTGAATCAGCATTTCAGAGCAGTATGCCGCAGGCCTGCAGAGAGGCAGACCATGGAGTTAATTAGACTCCCTCAGATACTCAATCTCTCCCCTATCCCCCTCCTCTGTTGCTCTCTCTCTCTCTCTCCCTCTTTCTCTCTCTCTATATGTTTCTCTTTAAATGTATAGGTCTTGAAGTCAGTTAACTCTGCAGCTAGCTCCCAGTCCCAACTAAATATCCAGAAAAAACCCCACAATAGTCACATCCAAATAATGTTTTTTTTAAATAATTTATTTCCTTCCTTGCAGCACCTTCATATTACATTACAGTTATGGTGCATTTTTTAGCATAGTCAAGCCCAAGAAGCAGAATCACACTAAAAGATGACTGTGACGTATCGAAGCGCCTTTTTGCATGCCACATTTTCCAGGAGCAGTTTACCACAGGAAAGAACAAGCACAGAAAACTTTATTTCTCTCTTCCTTGCTGTCTCATTGCTTCCTTTCCTCACCCCTTTAATGCCTTTGGGAAGGTGAAGGGATCATTTTCTTTGGAGAAATCTGACAGAGTGAGAACCCCCAAGTAGTTCTCAGGGTTTCAGAGTGAGAAGGCTGCAGGCTTTGTCCTCTGAGGTGAGTATAGCGGGCCTCACCAGCTGTAGCTGAGAATACACTGATATCTAGCAGTCAAACATTTAGTCTGCATGTCCGGAAAGAAGCAATGAGACATGGGGAGCCAGCGAGGGAGGGTGAAGGAGGGGGAATCTCCTGATGATCCAGCTCACTATTTCACCTCTGTTTAGTATCCTGCAGGACTCAGTTGTCTCCACAGCTGAGCTCTCGTGGCTCCTGTGTTTTTGCTGGACTGCAGAGGCAGTTTTGTACTTTGACTGTTGTGGACCCCAGAGGGTTACCAGCATTACCCTGCTACAGACCATAAACTACAAAACATAAACAGTTTCCGCCACATAATTCACACTGGCACACACAAAAGAGTCCCAGCCTAAACAATGAACAGAAACGATTAGAGATACATTCAGACTCTCAAATGTACGCCATATTTTGTAGTTTCAGAAAACGCTGCATTGAACAGCTTAGGAACTAGTCCCACAGCAAAGGCTTGTAAATCCAATAAGAGCTGGCGCATGGCTGCTGATCGTAAAAGAAAATGAGTTTAGAATCAGTCTGTTAGTAGAAGCGATGTTAAAAGTCTACTGGGTGCTGCTCTCTGAAAATCCAAAAAGCAGAAAGACAGAAATGTTTGTGCACAGCAAGAATTACCCGGGTGCTGAGATAGTTTTGGGCAGAGATGAAAAAGAAGAGAAAGAAATGGAGAAAAAAAGATGAGTGGTGTTTTTATGAGTTGTGGATCAGTGAAGCAGTGTTATCCGCCCACAGACATCAGTTAACAAGAAGAGAGGGGAAAGGCCAGCAGCACACCAGCAACAGAGGAGGAACTGAGCACTCAGTGGAGGGAGGAAAAGTCCAACATCCAGAGAATTTAGTCAAATTTATAAATTTCATATGTGACTGTTTTGAAACTGAGGGAAAAAAAAGAAACAGTAAACACTGAGTTTTCAAATATTACATAGAGATGGAGAGCTATGAGAAAAAGGAAAGAGCTTAATTCTAATTGTTCTCCTCTATTTCCTGAACTTACTCGGACAAAATAGTCTCATATTTTCTCACAGAGCCTGTCTCTTTCTAAACCACACTGCCTCAGTATGTGTTTCCAGAGGTTTTACATTTTTTAAAACCGGCTCCTTATCAGTTTCTTGGATTAGCATAATTAACTAGTCCTCTGCCTCAGAATTCCCCCCCGAAGCCAATCGGTTGTTGGCTGTGTTAGCAAAGGCCAATGTGAGTGGTCAGCCAAGGACAGAGGCAGCCCAAAAGAGGGAGGGAGGTAGAGGACTGTCCGATTATCTCATCAGACTCAATTAGGCGGTTGAAGTAGAAATTTCTCCTACACATGCTTAAACACTGAAAACCTTTATTAAATTGTTCGAAAAAACATCAATACTATTAAAATATAACAAAATCTGATGAATCCCAAAGTATTACATTCTTCACCATCTTGCTCAGTGTTCTCTGTCCTAACTCCTCCCTCTTATCTTTTGAACATGCAAACACACACAGCTCATTTAGTCCGTCAGAATGACACGAGTTGGGCCGCTGAGTCCGCATGCAAACCGAAGACTCTCATTCCCACGATGAGCAGGCGACTGATGTGCAGCAGGCAGTAACAGAGCAAGTGGACATGGTTGTTCGTGTAGTGGAAAACGCTTGGAGCAACCTCCGAGCTACAGGGACGTCCACATGTGTGTATATAATCTTATGTTGCAATTATTTCTTCATGATTAAATGTAATGTTTGCATGTGTGGCCACAGATGTTTGACACAGTTTGTCGACGTTGGCGAATGGAAAGGATTATTCCTTTTTCTCTCAGGGGAAGAACAACATTCACCTGACTCCCCATCGTCTCCACTATGAACCGAGCATCAAAGAGCGGTGTGACAGTCAGACAGGAGAGGAGGATTAGCCCGAGCTAAGGTTCCCCTTACATAATCCACCCTTTTAGATTAGCTTCATTCCCCTGAGAATGTGATACATTTTAACCCTTTGAAAAAAAGAGAGAATCACAGCCTCACAGTATAGATCTATAGCAGAGACCTATCGAAGCTCTCTTCATTTCTAGGTCTGAAGATGATTATCCTTTATGACATAAAGTTTATGTCTTGGTTGATGCAGTTGGGTTGTTTTGGAGTTCACACTATACATCTTGCTGTCAGTCACAGCCTGTGGGAGCTTGAGTTATAGAGTAAATGAGTTAAAGCGAGCTCATGTAACTCTGGCTTAACAGTAACACTGGCCAACAAGTGACACTTACGAGGTAACTGTAGGTAAAACATAGTGTAACAGTAGCACAATAGAGTAATATTAGTTATACAAGAATCTAAAATTAGCTTACATCATTAACTAACATTAGTCACTATAAGCTGCTGGTCATACCATACCAAGACTGTAACAGCAAAACCCCTGAGTGTATTAAAATGACACATATATAATATATAAATGAAAAGATACCTCCCATTATTAAAAAACATGAGAAGTAACTAGCTATAAATAAATCAATGGATTCCCCTAAAATATGCTGGTTCTTCATAACAAGTTAAAAATTAGCTTTACTTATCTCTAGAGACTTAGTGAGCATGTAGCAGATTCCCAACTCCTCCCTCACAACACACTCAACCCCTCAGACACACACTCACCCTCAAGGAGTTAGCTGTCAGTCTCTGGTCATGCCCCTTTTTCTAATTGCACGAAAGACAGTTGCGTCATAATGTCATATTAGAATTAATTTTTGGATCAGAACCGTTAAGTTAGTTCTACCTCCACTGCTGTGCTATTTGGTTTGGTTCTTGAATGTTTAATGCTCTTTATTGTTTTAGACTGTGAGAGGTCTGGACTCAAAAAAAGTTCAGCCAATCAAGAACGTTTCCTGAAATGGTATTCCGTCTAGCAATCTGAACAATAACTGTAGGTGGGCCTGACGTAAGATAAGAAATACTCTTCAGCTAAAGAATGTTGCTCTCCAAATATTAATCAGTTTATGCAATTTTCTTTGACAAAAGAGAAATCAAAAAAACCCAATTGTGCTTTTAAGATGTCACTAATTTTGGTGCCCATAAACACGCAAGAAATACGCAAATAAAGGCATTTTAATTTCTCAGGTGTGAGTTAATTTTGTAAACATTTATGGAGGGGAATCAAGGTCATAGAAGGTTCTTATTATTTGAATTCTTTGTATTATTTATCTTAGTATATTTACATTTATATCATAATACTGTCTCATTTTTTCAATCACTGGGACTGGTTCCCTTGTTTATATTCCTGGATTCTTATTTTTAATTTGATAAGAAATATACAATACTGATAATAATACCTCTGTTATACACTATGTAATGTAGTGGAAGATGAGACATTTAAATACAATTCACTAA